CATTGGTAACATCAAACATCTAAATTGATATAAAAAAATTAGACGCCTAAATGAAAAATATGTATAATTTAAGTATTTTTTTAATATTAAACAGAACCATAATGATAAAAAACATGTATAATCATGAGTTTTGGGGTTTAAATTTAAGTAGAAATTTTTGAAATAGAACTTGTAACATCCTCAATACCGGGTTAGTGATCAAATTGTAAAGTTTCAGAATTTGATGACTAGAGTAGAACGATGGATTAGTTCAATGATTTATTTGGAAATAAATCATAAAAGTTGTTAGTAATTATTAGATTAAGTAAAGGGCAAAATGGTCATTTGATAAAAAAAAGATTTTTATTTTTTTCATTATAAGATTATGAAACCACGTGGGAAGAGGGAAAAGAAGTTCCAGAGTTCTCTTCATCTTTCTTCTTCCTTCACGCGTGAAAATCAAGAGTCAAAGGTGAGTTTCTGATTATTGGGTTTTTGATTAAATTTAATTTTAGTTTTGATTATTAGATGATAACTAAGCTTAAGGAAAGCTTAAGTTATCTTAAAATCAAAGTATGATGGAGTTAGGAGGGATTAAAGATTTGAGGTTCTTGGAAGAAATCTTGGAATAGAGTTCATAACTTGAATTGGAAGTTAAATTTGACTTGTCATCAATCTAATTAAGAGATATGAAGTAATAAAATGGAATTTGGAACATGTTTGAAATTGAGTATGATTCTTGAATCTCATAAGGAATATAGGATTTTGAGGTTAAAGATGGTTTACATGGATATAGGTTGGTTCAAGTAACGGTAGTTGAGTTTAATGTCATAATAGGGGCTTAAAATAGAAGAATTAAGGGAAGAGTAGATGATTTTCGTGCTAAAATGACAGTTCTGGGCTATGTGCATCGATGCACATTCAATGTGCACCGATGCATTAAGGATAAATCTCAGAAATTGTTCAAGGTGTATCGATGCACCTGAAGTGCATCGATGCACTCTTTTAAAATACGAACATCGAATGCCATCAGTGCATCGATGCATCCTCTTAAATGTAAACATCGAATAGGATTTATGCATCGATGCAGAGTGTGGTGCATCGATGCATACCTTCATTAAAAGATGAAAATGGCTCTTTTTTTAGCCTAAGAAATGATAGTTTAGAATATATTAATTAGTATACTGATTAGTATCAATGAATTACTATGTAGATACAAAGCCTAAACAAGTTCCGGAACTTAGCAAGTAAGATCGATCAAGGAAAAGATAACAGATCGGTTTTGACTAGTGAGGCCAGGTGAGTGCGTACTATTAGAATATACGTATTGTATATGAAAATTGGACTTGCGACAAGTCTGTTTCCAATATGTTGAATATATGATTGTATGATTATGTTTGATATTACATGAATATGCTTAGTTGTATTACATGTTAGGTGGTATGAATTTATATGATATGTGTTATATGGCAATGATTTATGTATTATAGGAATTAGATAAGTTATATGAACCTGAGATATAAATTATAGGATCACGAACTATGTAAAATACCAATGACTTAGGTGATAACAAGAGGAAGTGACTATATAAACATGTAAGATAAGTTATATGGGAAAGAGTTATAAGCTTAAATGTATTTATAATAAATAAGATATATAGTAAAAAAAATTATGAAGACATAGAGAGATATTATAGGAGCTTTTTATGATAATTTATTAGAAGACTTATATATGTGATAAGCTATGTGAAACTGAACTAGGTAAATATATGAGATTAGTAAATAAATGATGGGAGATGAGTAATTATATAAAACATGAAGTTATGATATATATATAAATAGACTATATGAAAATGAGTACATGATATTAAGTATAAGTTATTTATGGAATTAAGACTTGCGATGAGTCGAATTCTGATATTAGATTATACGAGTACACGAATACAAACATGTAGTGCTATGATGCTTAAGTGTACATGAGTATATGCCTATGTCTAGATGTTAAGTGCATCTTTATACATGATCTATGTGAATGCATGTGTATGTGATAAACCATGTGAACTAATATAATTGACTTATGTAATTAAAGGGAGAAATGAAATAAGGTATGTGATTATAAGATATGTGATAATAGGTTATATGATTATATGATCATAAAATATAAGACATGTGGCAAGAAATGTGTGATTACATGAAAGTATAATATAAGTTATGTGAAAGTGATATATATGACTATTTGTCTATGTGAATACAAATATATATATGATAATGAGATATGAGACTCTACGGGAATATTACACGATCTACGTGACAAGAAGCTATGAGATTATATGTCTATTTGAAATGAATGTGTGAATATAGGAAAAACATAAATATTAATGCCCATGTTATGTGTCTTGAGAGCTAGCGGTATAGTTGGCATGCCAAGAGTCGAGGGTCTACGCGGTCCTTCGGGATATATATGTATTCTTTGGAACATGTGTGAGGTCTTTTGGAGACACAAACTTGATCCTTGGCATATGTATATGATTCTTAAGGAATTTCTACGTGGTCCTTAGGGACATTTTATATGGCACTTCGGTGCAATTCTACGTGACACTTCGATGCAATTCTACGTGGCACTTCGGTGCATTTATACGAGCTGTGGTGACAGCATTAGTGCACAACCTCTAGAGACTCACATATCAATAGTTCTCACGTATGTACATGGGCTATTCAAGAGAAAATAATAAATATATGTTGTGATATGATAAATTTAATAGCAATGACATGATGATGTATATGTTAAGTATATATGCTATGTGATTAAATGATAGTGACTAATGATGATGTGATATGATTTATATGATGATGTCAGTATTGCTTGGTTAATTGAATGATATGTTGAGTAAAAGAATAGATATAAGAGGATATAATTATAAGATGTAAATGTTAAGAATATTGATAGTGAACGAAGGTTAGAGATTTAAAATAATGTGTGATATGTATATGTTATATATATATTTATTTAATGTTATATCGTTTTGATGTGGTATTATAAGATGGTATGTTCATGCATGTGTAAATAGTTAGAGTTCTTTTATAATTTAATGCCTCACTAAGTCATCGACTTAGCCTGTGATTGTTTCACACGTAGGTTAAAGAAGTAAGAAGAGAAGCGAAGAGGAGCAAGACAGGTTAGCAACTCCCTTACAAAATTTCAGATCAGAAAATAGATGATTTAAATGTGTTTGGTTAATTTGAATATGGTTGGCATATACTAATTGATTGAGTTAAAGATGCTCTGATCGATTTTGGTTATTGGGGTCAATTTATGTCAATAAACCGCTATTATTTTAATGAAAGTTTTTAATTTTTCTTTGAATTTTGGTCAAGAGTCAAAGTTTGAAAAGTCAATGTGATACCTCATACTCGTATTCTGTTTGGGTATGGGTTGGGGGTGTTACAGAACTATAAGTTTTTATCATTTTTTTTATAAATCTGGTTGAATACAAGGTAATATTTTGTGTAACAATATATAATATTTTAATTACTAAGATCGTTTAGTTTGTGTAATATTTTGTTAATTACTAAGATCGTTTAGTTTGTGTAATATTTTGTTAATTTTAAATTAATCTCTCATAATTTCATCTTGATTCCGTGGTGCATTGTCATCAGACTTGTCGACTGATTCCGTTCCTTTACAATATATAAACCATTTGGAATATAATCATCACATTAACTCGTAAAATATTAGCCCATCACATGAGTGTAATGAGAACACCCTTAACCGGTTCTTCAAAAGTTAACCATTTTTCTCCAATAAAACCCACCATTTTTCATTTTCATACAGAGAGCTCCTCAACAGACGCTCCTAGCCACAGTTTAATACAAAAAGGTAACCTTTAGCAACATCATCTGAATTGTTGGTAAACATGCAAACCCTTTTATTCTAATCAAACAGATAATTAAGTACAATGATGCTTAATCAGTGTTAATTAAACTTCAATGACATACATCATGCATGTCTACTTCCTTTTTCTCCATCTTGGCCCCATCTGCATGCTTAGGCTATGATGTCTCCCATTTCTTTTACCCCTTCCTTTTTCCTTTATTGATCCCTTCAATCTAAATCTTCATCACGCTTAGCTGAAACATGTGGTTTTTATTTAAAGATGGGAAAGGAATAGGGCCTCTTTGATTCCCCATTTTACGATTCGGGCTTATACGGTTTCTTAGTTTCATACAAAACCCGACCTTTGAATTCGATAAATTTTATCGAGTTATTTTGACACATGTCATTATCTTATTGGTTCATAATGAAATTAATCTTCGGGGTTAACTTTGTACCTTTTGCTAACTTTAAGGGTGTCAATTTGACCCTCCCAAAACTTTTAGGGGCCGATTTGGGTATTAACCCTATAGTGCTCAGCATGTGTAGTTTTCATATTCAATCTTTTTTAGGACACCTCCCCACTCAATCATAATCTGATTTTATCTCTTAAAGTTCTCATAATTCCTAGTAGGTCCCCTTTTATTTGCAACTCTTCAATGTTTATGTATTTTTGTGAAACATTTAGTTAACCTTTCCATCTGTTACACCCCATCTGTCTGGTTTTTCTTTTTCACAAACTTTTTGTGTCTGCAAGAGAGGGCAGGAACAAGCTGTACCTCCTAATCCTTGTGCCTTCTTTCGAATCTTAATCTATGTTGTTCCGACTCTTCATTTTTATTGAATTATTCACGTCTAACACTCGTGATTGACACATATACATAAAGAACCTATTTAATACTATAAAATACATATTTGTATCCGACACTCACATTCGTATACCTAACTCGAGTAATATAGGTTTTCTTACATTTATATGATGTCCATATGGTGATTTGATGTTATTAGCCATCCAACGGTTATGATACAAGGATGCATATGAACCATGTTTAGTGAACCCACATCATAGCATTAAGGTGATGCTGATTTAGCTTATATGCTTAATGCTAAGAGAGTTGTTTACATCGAGTACCCTTTTAATCATTCTCTTTTGAACTCCATTCCGGAGATATTTCCTTCTTTGCCTCCTAATTCCATGGATTCCAAGTCCATCTCATCGCCTTCCGAGGCATGCCCGGAGACGATGGACTTTCTTTCGCGTACTTGGTGCGACTTTGCGGTTCAAGCTCTACAACCCGAGGTACATGATCGATCAGTCATCGTCGTAGACAATCCGATCAAGACATTTGAGAGTGATTCCCCGATGTCGTTAACTGTGAGTATCGGACTACTGTATATAAGATGTTCTACTAGCTTACACTGTATTTTCATTCAGTAAATTCAAGCTTTTGTAAATCTCAGAGGATGGAGAAAAGCACAAAGACTGATGCTACTGATTTCAAGTCTTCTTTGCCACCATGGAAATCAAATGATGTGAAGGTAACATCTACGGTTCTGTTCCGTTAATGCTACCTACGTACCGGCGTTACTCGTCGAAGTCGTAACTTGATTTTATATTTTTTTTTTCATTTTATGATCAGTCATGGATATGGATGCAACAAGCTATGCATCCGGAACTGAATTACAACAGCTGTTTTCGAAAGAAATGGGTAGGTACCTTGTGGTTCACGTAATAAGAGCATTAATATTCGGAGATAATTTTTACGACTTGTCGTCGATATGCTCAGATGCCGTGGAAGATATCCCCCTTCAAGGGCATTTCAATCAAGACATGGTTGAAGGAGATTAAAGCAAAGAGGAAGGAAGAAGATAGACTACAAAGAGCCGAAGTGCACGCGGCAATGTCAGTGGCAGGTCTAGCAGCAGCACTGGCTGCGATTGCGGCTGAGAACTCGAAACGGAATGATTGTAACCCGGCCAAGGAGGCTGTGATAGCCTCGGCAGCTGCTCTGGTTGCCGCACAATGCGTTAAAGTGGCGGAAGCGATGGGGGCTAAGGAGCAGCAGCTTGGCAGTGTTATAGGTTCGGCCATGAGTGGGACGAGTGCAAGTGATATCTTAACACTAACAGCTTCCGCTAACACATGTAAGTGTAAACACGTAGATATCATGTCCGATTCCCGATCACCGTCTCCGATCTTCCGAAATTAGTTCGAAAACTAATAACACTCACTCGTACTTATTATTCGTTTTTAATTTTATTCTAATAACTGTTATAGCATTAAAAGGAGTTGCTACACTTAAAGCAAGAACAGGATGCAAGAACAGATTCAATAATAGTGCTCCCATCCTTCCAATCGAGGACACCGATGATTTTCCGTTCGAGTTCGAGAAGTGCAGGTCAATGCTGGCAAAGGGCACAGAGCTAGGCGTAGAAACACCAGATGGTTAGTAAATTTCATTCTTGACCATCAAAATTCAACATTCAAACTCGATTAAATTCGTGATAGATAACGATTTCGAGTTAACGCCGATTTCTTGACAGGGAAATACAAGTTCAGATCAGTGTCCATAGTACTTGATGGTGAATCAAAGGTCAGACACAGTGAAACTACAGCTTTAATCAATTAATTAAAAATAATAAATTTCACTGAATCACATAATTAGTTTATTATGGCATATATATTTTCAGGTCATTCTTAAACTAAGGAAGCTCAGCCTGTTAAAAAGCAAGAAAGAATGTAAGTCTCACACTGTCATCATTCTCCTCTTTTATTTCCATTAAAAAGTTGTTTAATGATGAAGATCACATGGAAACTTGATCAAAATCTGGATTCTTTGACTCAGGCATCGTACTGGACCTGCATGCCGAGTTGTACCGAGATCCCGAAGCCGATGAGATGACCGACACATGCTACCTGATCGTGTTTACGACGAGTTCCGGGACGATTAAAATAGACATGGTGGATGATTACCAGTGTTATAAGACATGGGCAACCACCATTAGTCACATGCTCATGCTGTCCACTTGTTTTACCAAATATCAACTTCCGTTCCACAAGAACTGATGTTACTGTGTTTTTCGGTTATTCGCTGCATGTATCGATCGATTTCGAATACTTTTTTTTATAGTATTGTATATTGATTTTACATTGTTATAAATGTTTTCTGGACATAAATATATGGAATTCCTTACTAGATTTTGAAAGAATAGCACAACTCTACATGTTACAAGAAATTGAACCTTACATTCATACACCATGGGAGTCTGCAAGGCTCCTGAGAACACAAACCAGTGCTTTTAATTTCATGATGTGCTCGATAGACCTTCGAAACAGGGTCTCCAAATCCGTCTCCTCGGAACCAGGAACGATCCGCCGCAGGGTATCACTTTCTCCGCAACACTAGGCGTGACATCCCCGTCTTTTGTCCTCTCTGATTCATGGACAAGAAGCAAGCTTTTCTCATGGTAACAAGAGAAGCTTTGGAGCTTGTAAATTGGATGATTGCTAAAGGAATTTATGGATTTAGACATTTTCGCTTGCTTGGGACCATTTGGTTTTTTTGGAAGTGAATTCTATAGACAACAAAACATGGTGCACTTACGATATATTATTCGTATATTATCCGTCGATCGAAGAGTAGTACGTGCTAGAAAAATTACGCACGCAGTAATCCAACACTGTTAACAAGCTTACCTTGTTTGGGTTATGAAAAATATTCCACTTCTACTCGTTAACAGCTCCAACACTGTTGAATCACTTTGTTTTGCTCTTTTTAACTTACTGTCTTAAGTCTAATCAACAAGAGAAAATTTAAATTTGTATTAAAATGAATTTTCTGTGATACAATTTCTGTAATTTTTCACTGTTCTGATAATCCAAATGTGCTAAGAAAAATATGTGATATATGTGCCACAAGACTCACATCAAAGGAAGATTGATTATCTCTTCCAATTGATCCACACAACCAAGCATTGAAAAAAGAAGACCAGAACAATAGCTGAATTGCAATGACTCTTTTGAATGGGATCCGGATATTATTTGGTCAACATGTCTTCTAGAGATACGACCAACTGTTTTTTAGCCTTCCAACAATACTTGAAACGTGTCAATCTGATGTCGGAAACTCAAGGTATGTCCATTTTAATGAAGGCAACACATATAGAAATTCGTGATTAATTCCAAATTTTGTAAATATTATGAATTATCAATATTTTATTAATTATTTATAATATAATTTAGGATAAAGTGTATAAATAGTCCACGAACTTTTAGGGCGCTTACATTTTAGACACCCAACTTTTGAAACTTGCAATACAATCATCAAACTTTTAGCTCGTTTCATTTTGGTCCTTGCCGTTACCTCCTGTTAGTTTTTGCTAATGTCGTACTTAATCCCATTAACTTTCTGACGTGGCAGCTTCTTCTTTTTCCTTTTTTCTTCTTTCTTCTTTTTCTTCTTAAAAGCTTACATCTTCAAACAGAGACTTCATTCTCACACTCAAATTCATGAAAGAGTAAAGATTTGTTGTTTTACATGAAAATTAGAGTGACAAAAATGAATGTCCTTCATCTTTGAAGCCAAAGAAACGCAAGCAATTGCAATTAGCCACAAAACCCATGGATTACCTTGCTGCAAAAGTTCAAATCCAGTCAATTAAAATGTTCCAAAACAAGACAATAAAATCCATTAACTATGAACTACTTACAAGGATATCTTGTTTTGAAATGAATCGATCCATGTAAATAACCGATGAGTGATTTATTTAGTTATTATTTCATCTTTAATTACTCCTTGTTGATTAAGTAATGTTGTTGATTTAGGTGTTTTCATTTGTTTCCTATGTAGGATGTTGAATTTTAGAAACAACATTAAAAAAAGCGAAATTCTGTGGTTTTATTTTTCTGGAGTCAAGTCTGGAATAATGAGCATTACTCGGGGCATAACATCGTCCGACGTGACATTCAGTCAGTAGCTTCTAGAAGACAGTCCAATCAACATTTTTAGAAGGTTGGACAACTATCTATTAATCACGGTCATCATCAAATCACCGTTCTTGCCCATTATCACCAAAATCCTAATTTTGGCTTAATTGTCTTATCTTTATTTTTTTTAATCTTTTTTTGTTTATCTTTTTGTTTTAATCTCCATTAATTTCATATTAATATTTTATTCTTATCTTAATTTTTTTAGTAATTTTCTTCTCATTCAAAACCAAATTGTGATAACAATTTAATCCATTTTACATCTCATTCTTTAATTGAGTCTAAATTCTTAGACTTAATTTTTCAACTATGAGCAATGTTCATCGTTCCGTTTGCCATCCTATCAATATGCAGGCAACCTGAAAGGCTTAATATGTTTGTTTGTTGTTTTTCTGCAAGAATCTTTGTTTTTTATGGTTAGGCGACTCTTTGTTATTCTTAAAGAATTGGTTTGTTTAAGGACGAGCCCCTTTAATATTCTTCATCAGATGAGCTCAAATGCTTGGTGAAAGCGAGTTCTTTTAACTGCCGGAATCGACCTCATGTTGATCCCCTTAAAGTAGGAGACGGCGAAACATCTGGTAATGCTTTAGATTTAAATAGAATGTAGATTCATTTGTAATCACTTAGTTTTTACATTACAATTTGATATCAAAAGCTGTAGCACAAGCAACAGATAGTTTCAATGATGAAAAAGGGGGATTCAGGTAGTTGTAGCACTTGGTCAATTTGGTTGAACAACAACATGCTGCAATCACAAATTTCAGATAAAGTAAAAATGGGAAAAAATAACTAAATGGAAATAAATAAGGTGAATCAATTACCTTAATCTGGGTCCTGTTACAAGTGTAAGTGATGCGAACTAATCCGTCACTAGCCTGGATAACAACAGGATATGAGAATTCCATTCCTTGAGTGTCTTCCAATGTCAGGTTGTTGTCAGGGTTGGAGAAGAAGAAGGAGAACAATGAGGAAGTATCGAAGAACAATTGGGAAATGAAGATCAAGGGTTAGGGATTGAAGACATAAATTGGGAATTAAATCACATGAGATGCACGGGATCACTTACCGCATCAGTGGAGCAGACCATGTAAGGTAGATGTCTGAAGGAGCAACCCAATATCGAAGGCCCAGTACCTGAAGAAGAAAAGAAAGAGAATAATCAATCTGTTATTTAGTTGTTATATAGTTTGGACAGTTGGCATGAAACGTATGGCAAATGTAACTAAATAATTAACAGATTGGTTGTAAAAAAAATCCCTTATGCAATGAATGATGGAATTTCTTCTCTATCAACTCTCTTTCTTCTAAATTTCTTCTCTCAAATCTCTTTCTTTTCTCTCAATCTATAACAATTGGTATTCAGAGCCTCGATTCTGGTAAATTTTTAGTGGACATGCCAAAGAAGAACCAAACTATGACAGAAACTGATTTATCTGGGCTACAAAACATATTGAAGATCTAGCTGCGTTAGTGAAACAGGGCCAAGATGAAACTAATTCACCTAAATGGTGGGAAAATCAGGAGAATAGAATCATTGCATTGGAGTCCAGAATGGCTACTAATCAAGGTTATGTGGAGGAACTGTTGAAGATTTTGACAGGCAGAACTGGTGAGCAAGAGCATTCTGCTGGTGAACAGGTACAATCTCATGATACTTCTAAAAATAAGGAGAAGAGTCTTGTTTTGGTGACCGTGGTAAATGAAAAGTCTAGATTTACTTATAAAACGGATGAACCTGGGATATTAAAGACTAAATCTGATGTTTGTTTAGCTCTTAAGAATAGTTCTAGGCCTGAAAGTCAAATGGGTGAAAACAATGACTCTATGGCCAAGAATAGTTCGAGGCCTCAAATATGGTTTGATGGATATATAATGCAAAAGCACCATGTAACATGGCATGAATTTGAAGCTGATCTTTGTCACAAATTCAGTGACAAATCTTTTCTGATATTGTAAAGAATTCACTAAATTGACTCAAAAGTAGTAAGTGGAGGATTATCAGGAAAAATTTGAGGAGTTATAGCCTTATATGTTGTTGCAGAATCCTACTTTAACTAAGGAGTTTTTTTGTATCACTTTTTATTAGTGGATTAAGAGATGACATTAAGCATAGGGTCAAGGCTTTAGATCCTAAAAACTTGTCTGGAGCATGTAAACTGGCCAAGCTCTATGAACTTTCTGTGGAGTTTGAAAATAAAATATTAAGGCCTTCTTTTAAAAGTCCACCCTACCCAAACCCCATGTCTACATTTAAGACAACTACACTGCCAGTTCCTACAAAGCCTACCTCAATACCAAATCCAAAACAAAATCTTATAGATTATAGAAGGCAAAATAATCTTTGTTTCAAATGTGGTGAGAAATATCTGCCAGGTCACCAGTGTAAAAACATGCAGTTAAATATGATAACTGAAGAGGTTGGCACTTCTCCTTTGGAAGTTAGTCCTACTTGTAACACCCCAACCCGTACCCGACCCGGATATGAGTCAGAGATACTACATTGACTTTAAAACACAACTTTTAACAAATAATAGCAAAATATTTGAACTTATATTAAGAAAATACGATAATATACATATTGTAATATAAGTTTACCAAAATATTCAGAGCATACACAACTTAACCCTTTAATTACATGCCAACTACCATTTACATAACAAAATGACCTACTGATTAAGTTGCTTCTGATCTGGTGGTTGCAGGAGTAATGCTGTCAAGCTGCTTAACCTGTCTCGTCTACTTTCTCGGATCCTACGTGTGAAACACTCACACGCTAAGTCATCGACTTAGTGAGGCAATGTAATAATAATAACAAAGCAATGTAATGACCATGTCATAATGATATGAAATGAGATGTAAACATGTACTTAATCAATGTAGTCTACATCATCAATATCCATACCTGTAAGCATATTACTTTAGCATTCATGAATTTGTATGAATAAGTTTATTGGCCCATGATATCATACTGAGAACCTAAGGTATCTGAGTAATGTGAGGTTGTGCACTATGCTGTCACCACAGCTCGTATAAATGCACTGAAGTGCCACGTAGAATTGCACCGTAGTGCCATATAATGATGTCCATAAGGACCACATATAATTCTTTAAGAATCATATACATATACTAGGGATCAAGTATGTGTCTTTCCAAGACTTCACACATGTTCC